TAAAAAAAAAAAAAAAAAAAAAAAAAAAAAAGTGAATTTAAAAAATGCTAAATAAATTGAAATCACATATATATAAAAAAACAATTAATATAAAAATAGAAAAAAATATATTTATGCCTTACTTGCATTTTTTATCTAATGCCCAATTTCTCAAGTTTTTGTAAGTTGTTGCACCACAGATGTTGTAATGAGTTTTTAAATTATAATAATATGGTAAACCACCACATAAATTATTATGATCTAGTTGTTGTAATAATTCAAAATTATAAGAATTTTCATACATTTCTAATTTTAAAAATTTAATATTTTCTTCTTCTTTTAATTTTGTTAATAGCTTTTCCATGCTATTGCAGTATTCGCAGTCTTCACTATGAAAACATAAAAGATGTGGTAACTTCTTTTCTTTAAAATGAATAAAAGAATAATTATTCTTCCGAAAATATCTACTTGATATATTATTATTCTTTATTGAAATAAGAAAATTTTTACTTATTCTTTGAGGGATATTATTATGGAGACTAAAATTTTGTCTAGATAAGCTTTCAACCACATTATAATTTATAAAATAGTACAAAGTGAAAAATATATTAAAAAACTTTATAACAAACATTAAAACAAATTTTAAAATATAATGCTTATCAATTTTTATTATAGTATAATGTTTTTAATTAAAAAGGAAAAAAAAAAAATTATTAAGACATATTTTTTTTTTTGCTTTTGTTTTTAATTTTTATATAATATAAAAATATTTGTATAATTATTTTTGTTTTAAAAACATTAGTAAATTTATTTTAAATATATTAATAATTATTTTACTTATTTTCTTAAATAAATTTTAGAGTAAAATAAATCATACTTTTTTTTATATTTATTTTAAAATTTTTAAAAAATAATAAAGTTAAAAGTAAATATTGGTATTTATTTTTTGTATATTAAGAAGGATACAAAAAAAAAAAAAAAAAAAAAAATTAAATAAGAACTATTTTATTTTTGAAATGTTTTTTGTTGAAATATTATAAATAAAAAGATTTTTTTTTTTTTTATTTCAAAAAATAAATATAGAGTCCATAATCTATATTTTGTTATTTTTTAATTTTAAAAAACTTTACTATTAATTTATAATTTAACTATTCTTTTTTTTTTTAAATATTTATATTAAATTTCTTTTAGTTTAAATTTTTATTATGATTTCTTTTATATAGGCTTTTTGAAAATATGAGTGAAAATTTTTAAGATAAGAAATAAATATTATATTCTTATAGATATTTTAAAATTACTAAATGTAAAATAAAAAAAAAAGAAAAATTTTTTAAAATACGTAATATATTTATCCATATTTTTTATATTTTACGTCTGAATAATATTTTAAGGAAAAATCATAAAACTGTTTTGTTAAAAGTTCTTCACTTACTGATTATTCACATTTATAAAATAGAAAATTGTTTTCAATCCTTAATTTCTTTGTTTTTTCTTTTTCTGTTTCTTTTTAAAATAAAAAAAAAAAAAAAAAAAAAACCACAAAATAAATTAAAGAAATACGTTAATGAATACAAGTTAAATATGTGTTTAATATGTTACCTATTATACTTCATCTATATAAATATGTATATAGTATATAATTTCGTAAGTAGGTAAATGAAAAAATACATTTTTTAAAGAGTAAAAATTAGTCTTTAGAGTTTTTTTAAAAAATCTTAAACAACAAAAACAATAATGTGTGCAATGTTCTAGAAAGAAGAAAAAAAAAAAACTACTTTTTAGATATGTTCTTTTTTTCAGTTAAAAAAATAAGAATATATTTGTGTATCTCCTAAGATATGTTCATTATTTAAATACAAGACAAAATAAAAATTTATTTCTAAAAAGTACTAGTAATAACACAAGCCCATTTTAAAAAAAATTTTCTACAATAAAAGAAAGGCAAAAAAAAAAAAAAAAAAATATTTAAAGAATTTTTCTTTTTATTTTTAGAATGACTACAATGCATTTATCTATTTGACAACTTTTGAACTTTAAGTTATAAAGATATATATATATATATATATATATATATATATATATGAAAAAAAAAAAAAAAAATGAATAATTTATACAAAAATAGCATCTTATGGTGTTCATGTATAAAAATGTAAAAAAGTCTTTTTTTATAAATATTAAAATAGATATTAATTTAGACATTTTGATAATTTTTATACTTTATTTATTTATTTTTTTTTTTTTTTAATATTAGATTTTTATTGATTTTTATCTTTTGTAGCTATTTTATGAATGTTTTACTTTAGAAATAATTATTAAAGAAATATTATACCTATATATATTATAAATTGTTTTTATAAATATTACATATAATTATTATATATAATTTATATAATGAAATAACATATTTTAACTACTTAAGACTGTTAGCACATTTAATTATTAAATTAAAAAAATTAATCTCAATTTTAATCTTATTGTAAAATATTTTATTTTTCTAATTATATATATTTTTGCGTTAATATTATTCTGCTTATTTATATTAGACAATAAAAAAATTATTCATTTATTTATATGATTCATTTAAACTGATTATATATATATATATATATATATATAACTGATTTGCTTAAATAATATATATATATTTTTTTGCAATTCTTTCAATAATATACACTTAAATAAGAGTAAAATAGATAAAATTGATAAGAATATAATATAAATAATTAAATAAAGATTAAAACCAGCACTAAGAAGAAATAAGAGAATATAAAAAAATGATAAACCATAATATTGAAAATGTAGAAAATTATTTTAATAAAAATGTGAATGAGGATAGTTCTGAAATAATAAATGATAAAAATAGTTATAATTTTAATGAAAAAAAAAATATAAATGAAAAGGAAATTTATAATGCTTCGGAAAAACTTTTATCAAATAATTCTCCACCAAGCTACTCAACATGTATAGTATTAAGATTTTTAAAAATTAAACATATATAATATGCAAGTGTAATATATATAATTATAATATGTATGTAAATTTAATTTTATATGATGATTAATTTATGTTTTAAAAAATAATTAACTACATTAGATTCAGACTATGAAGATTTTAAAAATATAAGAAAAAGAAAAAAATTGAAATGGGCTACTATATTTAGTTTTGCTTGTCCTATGATTGGAGTAGGTGGAATGAATTTAATATCAACTACATATGCCTCTTTTTTTTATACAGATATTATAGGTCTTAGTGCTAGTATGATAAAAAAAAAAAATAAAAACTAAAATAATTTACAAAAAAGATATATAAATATATATATATCTTTTTTTTAAAAGAAACTGTTGGAAATGTTCATTTAACTTTAATGTTTACATATGCTTTTAGCGAACCTATATTTGGTTGCATTAGTGATATATCTAAAGGAAATATTTTTAAAACATACGGGAAAAGAAAACCTTTTTTATTAGTTTCCTCTATTTTTCAAGCAAGTACTTTTTAATTAATATAAAATTATAATTCTCTATATTTCATATTTTTGTATTTCATAATTTATGTGTTTTTTAAATTTTTTTTTTTTTTTCTATGCATTTTTCTCATTATTTTTTTTCTCTTATTAGTTTCTTTTTTTTTATTACTAAACCCTCCTATAAAAATAAATTCAATAGGAAACTTAAAATTATGGTCATATATTTTGTCTATAATTTTTGGTATGTCTTGGGGGTGTAGTGAAGTAGCTCATCATTCATTGGCTTCTCAATTAACCTATGATTATGATGAGAGATCAAAATTACAAGTAATAATAAAATTTTGAATAAAGATTCTTTTTTAACTTTTAATATAAAAAGCAAAATATTTTTTAAGAAAATACCATGATATATATATATATATATATAATTATTCTACAATAAAAAATAATAATTGTATATATAATTTTTTTAAAAAAAGTTGTTAACATCAGCTGTATCAGTTATTGGATCAACATCATGCGGTTTACTGAATGGTATTTTAGGTTCCTTTTTAGATGACAATATAAAAAATGTGAAAAAGCAAATGTTCATAATAACACTAATTTATAGTATATTATATTTAATAGGCATATTTATAACATTAGTAGTATTAAAAGATAATGGATCATCAAAAGAACTATGGAATTCGGATATGCTAGATAGAAATAATTCTTTTAAAAATAATTATAAAATAATAAAAAATATGTTTAAAAATAAGCCTTTCAAATTACTCCTTACAGCTTACTCATTCACTTTATTGTCTGGTGCAGTGTCTCCAATGTTATTACCATATTTTTGCAGATATGTAATTGAATCTACTTTTTTAATAAATTGGTCTCCCTTATTTTTTACAACTTCAGCTATCATAGGGATCCCTTTTTGGATATGTATGAGCAAAATATTTTCGTTTAACAATAAGAAATGGAAATATATTTTATCTTCAGGATTATTATGCTTTTCATTAACTACTTGTTCTTTTGTTGTTAAGAAAAATGAAGAAAAATTATTTCTTTTTTTTTGTATTATTGGAGGATTATCAGTTGGGTCATTTTTTTCTACACCTGAAGCTATGAAAGCTGATGTTATTGATTATGATGAATTTTTGAATGGTATAAGAAATGATGCTAAATATTCAGGTTTTTTTATGTGTTTTGCAAATCTAATTGCTGGAATTGGTTTAAAATTTTCTTTATATTATATAAATCTATTCGGTTACGATAATTCAAAAAATGCTGCAAATGAAAAATTAACATGGGCTATCAGATCTGCGTTTGCTGGTTTTATATCTATCACATTTTTAATAATTTGTTTTACTATGTTTTTTTACCCAATTGACAGAAACTTGCATGAGGTATTGAAAATTTTTTAACATATATTTATAAATTAAATTATACATATGAATAATATTTATAAAATTCGTGTATTTTTTTTTTTTTTTTTTTTTTTTTTTTTTAATGTCTAAATAATTACACATTTATTTATATAAATCATTTAAAAATATTAAATTATTTAAATGATTAAACAAATAAACCCATAAATAAATAAGTATATATATATATAATATATATTTTATAGAAAATTTTAGAAGGTACAAAGTTAAGGAAAAACGGACAATGTGTTGAAGATCCATTGAATCCAGGAAAAATATTATTACCGTTTTCCAAAATAGATAACCATAATTTTACTTAAATTTATTGAATGTTTTTTTTTTTTTTTTTTTACTTTTTTATTTTACTAATTTTTGTATCTCTTATTTTTCGAACACATATTTTGTTAATTTATCATTGGTATCTATCTTAATAAAAAAGTCTAACATTTTTTTTCATAGAATTATAAATTTTTTTTTCTTTACTAAACTATTTATTTTTATATAACTTTTATTTAAAAGCATAATTCATTTTTTATGTATTCTTTTCTTTCTTTTTAGATATGTTGTATAATTATAAATTCTATATGCGTTTATATTTCATAAAAACTTTTTATATATAACTTTTATAAAATTTTGAGTACATGTATTTATTCTTTATTAGAAAAAACAGATAGGTGTGAAATTCATACTAAAAGAACCTTTAAAAAAACAGTGGACTTTAAATAAAAAAAAAAAAAATAAAAATAATCATATACATTTAGTAAAAAAAATAATTTCAAATAATAAACTAAATATATATAAGAGTATTAATAAAACTAGAACACTTTGATTGTTTATATATATATATATATCTGTAAATACTGTTATCTGAAAAAGGCAGTGTATGATATTAAGTAAAAAAAAGTACGAGAAAAATATAATGTTCACAATATTTATTTGATCGATGCTTTTTTTTTATAATTTTACTTTTTATAAATAATAAAAAAAACAAAATGTTAATCAGTTGAAGATAAAAATAGGCATATTATATAAAATTGATAATTATTAAAATGACAAAATTTTTAATAGAAAAAATTCAAGTTTAGAATAAAAAAAAAAAAAAAAAAAAATATATAAAATTAAAATTAGCTAAATTAAAGATGTGATTTAACAAATATTCATAGGATAACTTAAATGTAAAAACACTTCTACGTAATGAAAATATAATATTCATAAAATATAACTTTTTTTTAAATTACAATTAATTTTTAAATCCATACATTATGATTTGAAAAAAAGTTAAAAAATATATATATAAGATTAAAAATATTATAAACAATAGGAAATAACCTATATTATAAAATGTGTTTTTTTTTTTTTTTATGTATATATTTATTAAATACTGTAAAAGCATTAAAATCAACTAATCATCCTAAAAAATGTCTTAATATTTTAGTTTCAAATGAAGATATATACAAAAAGAAACTTCTTCGACGTAACTTGAGTTTGTTTAGAAATGGAATAAATTTTTATTTTTGGAAAAAAAAGTATCATGAAAGATCTATTGAAGAAAAATTAAATGTTATACCAGTTTATATTTTAACAAATTATAATAATTCACCATACATATTTCAAGAAAATGATAAACAAGTTTGTTACTTGTTTTTATGTCCACATGATGCAGAAAGTATGTTGAATGAAATCACAAAAAATAATAGTATAAAAAATATTAGCAATATAAAGATTCATAGTATTAGTATGGAAAAGGCATATAATTTAATAAAAGAATTTTTGCTTTTAAAAACAATGGAAAAGAAAAATGAAGATATAAAAAAAAATAATATATATTGGAAATTAATTCCATCGAAAAAACAAATTCAAAATGCATTAATTTTTTTGTCTTTTAAAAAAAAAAGCGACTTAATATTTCCAGTTTTTTATGTAGAAGGATTATATATACATCGTGACTCAAAAAATATTATACCATTATTTTTTGACTTAGAAGATTTGAAAAAAACTATTGAAGAAAAATTTGAAAAATCTTCCTTAAAAAATTATAAAATTAAAGTACTCAATTTTGTTGATTTAATTTTTTCGGTAAATAGAAGAATTAAATAAAATTAATATATATACATATATATATATATATATACATATCAAAACTAGTAAACAAAATTGTTTGTTTAAAAATATATAGGGTTTAATTTATATACTTTTATTATATATTTTATTAAAAATTGTTTTTTTTTTTTTTTATCAATACTTTTGTTTTGTTCCTTAATAATGTAGTTTAGAATAGTCACACTTAAATACAACTTATTATTTATATATTTATTACCTTCATTTACATTTTATACTCTTTCTATTACATATATTTTATTTTATCATTGAATTCTTTTATATATTCCATTATTTACATAGCATAAAAAATAAATATATATTAAAAAATGTCTAAATTTTTTTTTTTTTTTTTTTTTTTTTGTCAGAACAATCATAAATATTATGGCTTTATACCAAGTTTTAAAAGTTTAGAATATTTAGATCAATTAAAAAAAATTGGAATAAGGAAAACATATTTTTAATATATAGATATTTTTTAAAACTATTTTATTTACAATTCTTTTTATTAAAACTTTATAAGTTTCTAATTTTTATTAATATGAATTTTTTTTTTTAGTTTTTAGAATATTGCTATTTTTTTTTTTTTTTTTTTATTATTACATTCTTTTTGAATACTTTGCATCATTTTTTTTTTTTTTAATTTGTTCTAATAAATAATATTAATAAATTTTTAATTGATAATTCTCCTCACAAACAATTAAAAATTATAATAACAATGATAAAATAATTATAAAATAATTATAAAAATTTATTCTAATAAAATACCTTTAATATGAAATTATTTTAATATTTCACTTAATGAAAATTTGTATATTTGTATAAAATAAAAATAAACGCACTTTCGAATAACCAATAAATATATTAATAAAGAAACATATTACCCATGATATTAAGTAGAAATTATTTAAGAAAAAATTAAATAATTTGAACAATATATTTTTTTTATTTAATAATTTATTTATATATATTCTTTAGGAATATATTTCTAAAATTTAAAGTGTCCAATGAACAAAAATACGCTGACAATAATCTATTGCACACACACATAAAAAAAAAAAAAAATATTTATATATATATTTATATACGTATAATAATAATAATAATAAAAATTTAGCGCATAATAAAAAAAAAAAATAAAATTAAATATATAAATAATATATTCTCATATTTCTCATTTATATAATGATTATTTATTAAAAGATTTGATATAATATTAACAAGTTATTTTTTTTTTTTTTTTCGAAATATTATTTTTTACATTTTAATTTTTGTAAATTTTTTTTTAATGAAAATACATTTATTATACTTCAAAATCTTTAAAATAATTTTTAACAGAATCTCAGTGGAAAAATAAAAATAAAAAAATTTCCATTAATTTATATTTATATATATAATTTAGATAAAAAAAAAAAAAAATATATATATATATATATATCTATATATATATATATATATACATATATAAATATATATATATATATATAAATATACATATATATATATTATATAAATATATATATAAATATTTATTGAAGATATTAAATTTTTTTTTAAGATTTTATAGATAAAAAAAGTTGACATTTTAAATTATGCTATTATGTCTTGTTATATCAAAATGAAACTAATGTTTTTGATAAACAAATGATACAAAAAAAAAAAAAAAAAATAAATAAATAAAAAAAAAAAAAAATATAAATACATAAAATACATAAATGTTATAAATATATAATTATACATACAAATATACATATATATACTTTTCTTTAAAATGTAAATGAAATTTTAAATTTTAAAAATTTCTGTATTTCATAATTTTTTATAAAATTCTTTCATTTGTTTAACCGTTTTTGTTTAGTGATACATTATTTAAAAAAAATATACAGAAATGTATATATGTATATATATATGTGCTTTTATTAAATGACATAAGTTTAATAATTTTTTAAAAAGAAAAAATTATATACAGATAATACTTTAATATTCAAAATATATATATATATATATATATATATATATATATATATATATGTATGTATATATATATATGTTTTCTTTTTTAATGAAAAACATATCACTATGCCTAATTATAATAGAAATCATTTTTCAAATATTGAAAGTAAAGATGTAAATGACATTTTAAATATAAAAAAAAGTAGAGCAGAAAAAATTTTTTCCTTTAAGGACACCATTGAGCATAACTCTAATATTAATGAAAATTTTCCTAATAATGGAAACAGAAGAAAAGAAATAACTAATGAAATAATGTATAATTATAAAAATAATAAAGATATAAACAATAAGGATATAGAAAAAGAAAATATGGTAAAAAATAAATTATATAATAATACAGATATGAAAAAAAAAATATATTATGATAAATTAAACATTAACAATAATAGTGAACAAGATTATATGAAACCAAAGAATTCTAAGATTAATGAAAATTTAAATAAAAATTACTTGGAGAGAAAGTTTTTTGATGATAGTATAGCAAAAGATAGATCTAAATTTAGAAGATTAGAACAGTTTAATGAAGAAAATAACCTAAATTCTAATTGCACTTATAATGATGCAAATATTAATAATAACAACAATAATAATATACAAAGAAATTATAATGATTACAAAACACTTTCAAATAAAGAGATGATAATAAAAAATAAAAAATCAAGTAATATTGAGTGTTTTTCAAATAATCAGAAACAAAATTATGAGTGTAGTAGAAACAATAATGATAATTACGATAATTTCAATCAAAAAAGTATACTATTTCAAAAAAATAGTGATTATAACTATGTAAGTAATGAAAATAATATGAATTTAAATTTTTCTAAGATAAACAGAAATCAAAAAAAATTTTTACAAACAGAATTAAGTGATTCTATGATACCATTACCATCTCCTTATATACAAAGAGATATGAGCTATCATAGAAATATGAATGAAGTAAATAATAATAATATTAATAAGGAAATTTTTAAAAAAGACACTCAAAAAGAGGATTTAAATGATGAAGATTTTTGTGAAAATAGTAATATTACTGATAATAGAATAACTAATGTGAATAATGAATATCAAAGAAACAAAAATATTCAAAAAGGTATAATAAATGTAGGATCTTCATTTATACCGAAAGATAAAAATGTTATGCTACCTTCAAAAAAAGTTGGAAACCTTAATAAATATAATGAAGATCTCAATGAAGAAAGAATAAACAACAACAATTTATTAATGTACCATAATTCTAATATAAGAGATAAATATCAAAACTATTCTTCCTTAAAAAAAGAATCCAATCTTCTTCCGAATCAAAATTTAGTAGACAAAGATGGAAATAGAAAAAAAGAATATCATAACTTGTCATTAAGTACAATTGATTCTAACTACTCTAATCAAAATAATTATGAAAAGAAGTTTGCTCCAAATTTTTTAGATTCCAATTTAAATTCAAGAAAAGATAACAATATAGAAGGTAATTCAAAAAATAATATGGAATATATGGAAGAAAAAAAAATGCCTATAAATGATATCAAACAAGAGAATAAATATATGGGAACTAATAATGGTGCTATCGATCAAAACTTAGATAACAAAACTGCTTCAAGAGAGTTTACGTATTCATCAGAATATGAATATAATTTAAAAAAAAGCAATAAAAAACCTTCCTTTAAAAAAGATAATATACAAAGTGTTAATAATAATGTAATGGATAAACAAAGATTTTTAGATAAAGGAGAAAATGATCCTATTACAAAAAATTATGAATATAAGAAAATCGAAAATGGAAAGTCATCTCCTGAATTTGGGAATGATAACATTAATAATATCGTTTATGATAATAGAACTGAAAATATAATGAATGAAAATAAAATATCTAAGGGAAATATAATAGATAATTCAAGAGATTATAAAAGTAATATAAATCAATATAGTTCACCTAAATATGACGATAAACAATTAAGAAAACAAACAAAAAATACAGAAAACATGGAGATAAATTATTTAAATAAAAATGTTATGAATTATGGTAAAATAAATGAAGAAGAGTACAATAGATATGATTCTTCAGATTCTTATGATAATAATACATTATATGAAAACATGAATGATGAATTACAAATGGAACAGGGATATTTAAGAAATGATCAAAATTATTATAACAAAAAAGTTAACTATAAATATTTGAATGAAAGGAATATTAAAAGACCTTGCAATGATATCATAATAAATTCAACAAAAGAAAATTATAAAAATAATCAGAATGTTCATGCTTTTAAAAATTATTCATCTGAATGTTATCAAAATATTGATAATACATCTGATAGAAAATCTTATGACGATTATAGAAATGATATGTATATAAATTCACAGTATTCAGGTATTTACTCTTAGAAATAATAATAATTCCTATACTTAAATATAAATATATATATATATATATAAATTTAATGTTTTTATTTAGATATGGAAAAACATGAGGATATGAGAAATTATCCAAATAATTATTTGTATGATTCTCAAAATGGTAACTTTTTAAAACGAATATATATTTTCGAAAATAAAATATACATATATATATATAAAGCTTAAAAAAAAAAAAAAAAATAGATTTATGTTTATATTTTTTATAATTTCATTATTTCTTTCAATTTTTTTTTTTTTTTTATATATATATAGAAAAAGGTTCATTGACAATAATTAGACTCCCAGCTGAAAATAAGAAACAAGTAAAAAAAAAAAAAAAAAAAAAAGTAGATTATGATAAATCATTAGTTGATATGTATAGTACAGCAATTCCTCTAAATGAAAAAGTTGATCCTTATGCATTAAAAGCTTTATCGAAAAATAAGAATTTAGATAAAAAAATATATGCATTAATACCTAAATCAGTAGTAGAAGTAGCTGAATATGATGATATTACACATGTCACTTTACAGTCTCCATCCCCTCTTTTTGTTAATCCAAATATGAGTGTAAAACAACATATAATAACCACTAATTATCATCAAAAAAATGATGAAATTCCAAATATAGCATCATGTGTTGTTCCTATATCTGATGAATCGTTAAAAGGTATAAGAAAGAATTTCTTAAAAATAACATTTTAATTATATGAAATGTATAAATCGTAATATTTGTTCTATTATACTTTTTATTTTATTTTATTTATTTATTTTTTTTTTTTTTTTTTTTTTTTGAAGAATCTCTAGAGAAATCAAAGGAATCATTAAACGGAGCAGAAAATGATAAAAACGTAACATTGCACATTTAATTTATATATATATATATTATTTTTTTTTTTTTTTTTTTGAGATTTGATTTATTAAATATATTTATATATTCCATTATTGTAGCTTAAATCAATTATCAGAGGAACTTCATTAAGAAATAAAAGTGGTTCATCTTTAAGTGTAAAATTTAAATTATCAAACAGTGAATATGATAATAAGTCAATAATTAAAAATGAAGATAAAAAAAATACAATATCACAAAATGAAGATAACACAGATAAAAATAAAGAATTAAACAAAAAAATAGAAGATCATATATTATCACAAGAATTAAAAAATTTGAAAATTGATAAAAACGTTACGGAAAAAAGAAGAGCATCTATATTTGATGAATCCAAAATAAAATCAAAAAATGAGAAAAAAAAAGATTCAAATAAAAAAATTGTTTTAGACTCAAGTAAAGTTAAAAAAGCAACTGAAATTAAATTAAAAAAAATTCAACATGTTACTGGTTTATTAGAAAAATATGACATACCTAATCCTTTTGAAAAATATTATATGGAACCATTAGATTATTCACAATTAGTTGGACAAAATAATAATGCAAAACTTTTAAGTTTAGCTCATACAGTAATTATAAAATAGCAATAAAAAAAATTAATAATTTAATAAATAAATAAATAATTTAATAAATAAATAATTATTTTGCATATATCAAAAAAATGTTTTATTATAGGTTTCAAATAATTACTATAAATTCATTACAAAAAGTATGGAAAGAGCTGAAATAAAAGAAGTTTTTAATGAGAAAAGAAAAAAAATGATTTTAAAATTAATTGCATTACTAGGAAATCAAATAAATTCGGAAATAAAAAAAAAATTTTCAGAGGCAAATGCTTTAGCTCCTTCGAAAGATGATGAATTAGTAAAAAAAAAAAAAAAAAAAAAAAAAAATTAATAAAATATTTATAATAAATTAATTATTAGATTAACATAAATTAAAAAAAAAAAAAAGACATATATATATTTTGAATTGATTATTACATTTAAAAGATATAATACAAATAATTAAAATATATAAACATATATATATATATATATATTTTTTATTGTAGAAAAGAGAAGAAACTATAAAATCTAAAATGAGTACAAAGGAAAAAGAAATAAAAATAGAAGAACATAATATAATATGTAAATATTGGGAAAAACAAAGTGAATGTATGAATTTATTAATAAAAGAATGGAACAAAATTTGTGAAATTTTAGAATCAATTAATATAGATCCTAATAATATGATTAATTCACTTATATCATTATACGGAGAAAAAACAGTAAATGAATTTCACTTAAGTTTTGATGAAATAAAAAAAGCAAATATTGAATTAGATGTAAATATAGATGATGTAATTATACCAAATATTGGAGAGACGGCAGAAAATAAATTTGATCCTTCTAATATGACAATAATGAATATAATTCAAGTAAAATAAAAAATAAATAAAGTAAAACTATTGTAACTTAAATATATATTTATGTTATTAAACTTTTTTTTTTTTTTTTTTTTTTTTTTTTTTTCCATTTATTAAAGGATATAAAGTGGGATATGGATATAGAATATTCTTTAAATCAAATAAGAGAAGAATGGAAAGATGAAAATAGACAAAAGAAAAAATTAATACAAAAAAAAGTAATAAAAAAAAAAAAATTTATATTAATATATATATTAGAATATAAAAACATAACATTTTAATTATTTTTATTTTTTCACAGATTATTGAAGGAATAAAACATAGAATTGGATTATTAGATTATTTAAATAAAGTAGAAGTAAATTTAAATTCATTTGCTAAGCTTATTGAAGGAAGAATGATATCAAATGATGATGTAAAAAATCAATTAAGATCAATGCAAGATTTGAATGAAAATGTAATGTTTTCAAAACTTTTTGAAAAATTAAAATCTAATAAAATGGATATCAATGCTGAATCATTTAAAACACCCACTTCCTTTTTTGTTTCACATCATTTACCACTGACATTATGTTCACTAAGTGAAAATTCAAACATAGATGAAATAAAAAATGAAGAAGAAAATAAAAGTAGTAAAGATAAAGAAAATAATAGTAAAAATGATGATAAAAATAATATTATAATAAACCAGAGTGATAATGAACAGAAAAACTAAATAAGGGATTTTGTTTTCATATTTAAATTTTTATACACAAAATTAAGACATTTAAAATGTTCTCATTCTTATTATATTTTTAATTGTAATAATGGTCATCAGAATTATTTCATGAATATTTCTTATTTATTAAAAAAAAAAAAAAAAAGAAAAAGTAAAGAAAAAAAAAAAGATAAAATCAGGTACACTAATTAGAAAAAAAAATAAAATTAGCATATAAGTGTATACCTTTTTTTTTTCATTTTGTTTATATGGAAAAGGAAACTCATTTATTTACATAAATAATTTTATAATTAAAATTTTCCATAATTTTATACGGCTCTTATGTTTTTTGTTTTCATTTTGTGATATATTTTATTCTTACATATATATATATATATACTTTTGTATGCTTGTATTTTTTGTACTTTTTATCCTGTATATTTTTAAAATTTTGCACATTTCTGCATTTATATTTCTTTTTTTTTTTCCATAATTTTTAATTTGCAATTTTTCGTAATTTCATCGTGTCACATTATATATATTTTATATTTTTTTTTCCTTTTTTTTTTTTTTTTTTTTTTTTTTTTTTAAAAATACTTTATGTATTTATTACTCTTTTTATAAATATAAAGATATGATTTAATACCAAAAAAAAAAAAAAAAAAAAAAAAAAAAAAGGAAAAAAAAATATAAAATATATATAATGTGACACGATGAAATTACGAAAAATTGCAAATTAAAAATTATGGAAAAAAAAAAAGAAATATAAATGCAGAAATGTGCAAAATTTTAAAAATATACAGGATAAAAAGTACAAAAAATACAAGCATACAAAAGTATAT